TTATCGGTGAAGTAAAAACTCTCATCAGTAACTGCTGAAGATTTTATTTCAAATACATTTCTTTTACCAGTGGCGTATCGTCTCCATTTGCCAATGATTTTTGTAACTAATGGATCCAATCAATTTTAAATGTTGTAAGAATAAGGTATTTAACAATCTGTATTGTATCGTTTGCTTTGATGTTTTTCATCCTTCTTGTATTGAAAGAAAAAAACACTTTAAAGAATTAGGCGGTTGTAAAATTTACTGTTCCCAAAACTGCGAAAATAAAGATAATTATAAAAAAGAGGAAACAGATAAGTTATATGAAAAGATTGACTCATTAAAAAAGGAAAATTCCGAAAAAAATATATTACTACAGAAAAATGAATATGATAAAAATGAAGAAATTGAACAAATGCAGGCAGTAATTAATGAAAAAAGTAAAACCTTGGAAGAAAAAAATAATCACATTAAACGATTAAATAAAAGAACTCGTGATTTTGAAAATGAAGCTCTGGAATTAGAAAGAGAAGACGTTGAAAAACTAAAGGAACAAATAAATGTAATAAATGATTTGAACAAACAAATCTCAGATTTTCATGAGATGCAGAAATTACATAAAAGTGAACTTCAGAATAAAAATGATAAAATTGTGTCTTTGGAGGATGAGATAAAGGATTTGGATAGGATAAGCAGGCAAATGTTGGAAAGTATTAAACTTTTAGAAGGTGAAAATGCTAGATACAATTGGGAATTGAAAAATCTTACACATGATATTAACAAGTTCTCTAATACAACCCACAAACGTGTTGAATCAACAAAAAATATTAATGAATTAGCCCATGAAGTAACCAAACCAATGAATGACATAACAGTGACGCGCCGAGGGGATAAAGACAATAAAAATAAAATTTTAATTTTGTGTGATGAGGGGGGTAGAAATTTGGGTAGATTATTAAATTTGCAACTTAAGGATAAATATAGTATAGAAACTATTATTAAACCTGGCGCCTGCCTTAAAGATGTGATTGAATACATAGATCGACTAACAAAAACATTTACTTTAAATGATTTTGTTATTATTCAAGCTGGTTTTAATGATTTTCTGTATCATAATTACCCTTCTTTCAAACTGTTAAATTTTAAATTAAAACAATGTCTTAATACCAATTTAATTCTGACTACAGTTCCTTCTAAATTGCCGAAATATGAATTTTTCATTAATAAGTTTAACGATAAACTAATAAATTATATTATAAGACTTGATAAATGTGTTGAAAAAAGCAAGGTATCAATAGTAGATGTGAATAATAAGGATGGGTATAGTATTAGTAAAAAAATATTAGCACTTAGATTATCAAATTTAATTAACAATGACAAAAAAAATGGTACTTTGATCCACATAACATGTAATAATGTAATTTGTGATGTTACAAATACTGAAACTTCTAACAAGAATTTAAATGACAATGTTATAGATATAACAAATGACTTAAATGTAGGACTCAATAGCGATGTAAATTTTGTCAATTTAGCCGACGAAATGTCAATAACATAGATACTAAAAGTGTTTATTTATCACATAAGGATCCTGTAAAAAGTATTTGTTATGATATATTTTTGTGTAACATTGAAGGATTGAAACAACATAAACTTGATAACCTTATATCGGAAATCAATCATTTCTCTATAAATTTTGTCTGCTTAACAGAAACATGGGTATCTAAACAGGATATAAAAACATTTCATTTTCCAGGTTATAACCTAGCTAGTTGTTTTAGTCGTTCATTGTATCAACGAGGTGGTGTCTGCATATGGTCCAAAGAACATCTCATAATTGAATCGATTTCCTTTGAAGAATATTGCATAGAGAAGGAAATAGAAATATGTGGTATAAGGTGGATATTCAATGGCGATACATTTATAATTCTCTCATGTTATAGGTCACCTAGCGGACATCCTACAACATTTTTATCCAATCTTAACTTAATTCTAAATAAAATTTATCAGCCCAAGTATTTCATAGTTCTCTCTGGGGATTTTAATCATACCTCTATGAACTCAAATCAAAGCTTTGCCTTTGAACAGTTAGTCACATCATATGGGCTCATCCCAAAAAATTTTACTCCTACTCGAACTACCAAAACATGTAGTAATGTACTTGATCAGATTTACACAAATTACAAAGATACTGTAGGAATCGTAACTTTAAATACAGACTCAGATCATGACAATTTCCTGTTAAAATTCAATAAGCTAAAACTAAAAACCAATCCTAGCTCATATCAAAGTCGATTAATGGGAGAGACTAACATTAACGACCTAATAACATACCTTTCCAAAGAAAACTGGAATGGGATATATCAAGAAAATACTACCAACTCAAAATTCAATGTGTTTCACAATACTTTAACATACTATTTTAACGCTAGTTGCCCTTTAAGACAAATAAATGCTTCCAGATTACCACCTCGCTGTTGGGTAAATAAGAACATAAAAGAGTCCTCTAATAAATTAAAAGATCTATTTCAATTGAAGAAAAAATTCCCCGAGTTGCATGAATGTTATCATCATGCTAAAATAAATCATAGAAAGCTTGTTCAAAACACGAAATCCGAATATTATAATAATAAAATTAATGATTCGGCAAATAAAAATATAGCAACATGGAAAGTCATAAATGAACTACAAGGTAAGACAAAGACAACAAAGAGTATTTCAATTCACAACGATGGCAAAATTATTGAAAACCCAACAACTATAGCTGATATGTTCAATCAGTTTTTTACTTCGATTCCATATGAAACAATTAACAGAATCTCAACTCCAAAAACAAATCATAAATATAATAACAATAAGTCACCCACAAAGAGCTTTTTTACTTCTTATGTCTCTGAATCAGATGTAAACACAGTCATAAAACAAAAAATCAAAAACAAACCATCCAGCGGTTTTGACGATATCTCTGGAAACTTGATAAAGAAAATCGCAGAATATATTTTAACACCACTAACTCATATAATTAATTATTCCCTGGAAGAAGGTATTTTTCCCGAAAGATTAAAAACATCTATAGTAACGCCTATATTAAAAAGAGGTAACCCGCACGATATGTCTAATTATCGACCTATCTCAATGACTTCTACTCTTTCAAAAATATTCGAATACATAATGCTGGAGCAACTAATGAAATACCTTAACTTAAATCAGATTATATCTGAATCTCAACACGGATTCCGTCCTAAATACTCTACAAATACAGCCATTATCTCCTTATACGAAAAAGTGCTTCAATCTATTGAGTGTAGTGGGGGTTCGGCTGGGATTTTCTGTGATCTTAGCAGAGCCTTTGACTGTGTTCAGCATGATGTTTTATTAAATAAACTTCACTCATCTGGAATTAGAGGCAATCAAAATAAATGGTTTGAAACATATCTTACAAATAGACCCCAAATGGTTAAAAGTAACAACTCAGGAAAACAGTGTTTCTCTCAAGAAATAATAAATAATATAGGAGTGCCCCAAGGGTCAGTGTTAGCTCCCATACTTTTCACAATTTATGTAAATGAACTTCCAGAATTACTTTACCATGCATTCACAATTCTCTATGCAGATGATTCGACTTTCTTGTTTTCTGATCCCATTGAAGAACAATTGAAAAATAAAATCGATAGGTCAATTAAAATATTCTCGGAATGGGCTAGTAATCTCTCATTATTATTTAATATTACAAAAACTAACTACATTTATTTCCATACATACCAAAATTCTAATATACCTTGTCTAGATATGTCTGTAAACAACACACACATAAATACAGTTGATTCCACAAAATTTCTAGGAATAACATTCGATGAAAATCTATCGTTTAAAACTCACTGTCAAAATTTAGCGACAACCTTAAACTCACAATGTTTTCAACTTCGTAACCTTAAATGCATTTTAAAACCTCACCATCTTCGTCAAATTTACTTCGCAAATGTACATTCTAGGTTGATTTATGGTATCTGTGTATGGGGCGGATCATCCCATGCTAATGAAGTATTTATATCTCAGAAGAGAATTATAAGATGCTTGGCTGGTATTCTACCAACAGATTCCTATCGCCCTCTATTTAAAAAACTTAAAATCCTTACCGTATTCGGAGTATATATTTTAGAACTTTTAATATACATATATAAAAACAAATCGAATTTTAAACGTAATAGCGACTTTCATTCATATAGCACCAGGAACAAAGATGAACTTGTTCCTCTGTTAGCACAGCTAAATATTTGTGCTAAGTCACCAACAATTCTTGGAATAAAATTATTCAATAAACTGCCACAGAGCATAAAAAATGAATCAACATTAAAAACATTTAATTATCGAATAAAACAACAGCTTTTAGAAATATGTCCATATTCAGTGCAAGAATATTTTCAATATAAATTTGTACCACATGCTTCACCACCAAACTGTTCTAGATAAATTTATACAAATGCCCCTTTTCGCCTACCATTCTACGTTTGTCTCTTCTATATTTGTCTGTATTGTTTTGTTTAATTACTTTTATTTATTGTATACACCTTTATATTTATAATTCTGACGTGTCCAATAACATTATAACTGTTTAAATGGATTAATAAAGAATAGAATAGAATAGAATAGTCGTCCTTGAACGAAAATCGAAGTTCGGTTATATCGCGTGAATTTAGAGATGGGTAGTAACAAATCTGTAAATGAACATAACAGTTACAGATTTGCTAATAGCCATCTCTAAATTCCAGTGTATCACCGGAACCACCCGAACTATAGAGACGTTGTAACCGAACTTCGATTTTAGTTCAAGGACGACTTACCCAAGTCCGACTCACGTAAGTTCTGTTTATAAATACGGGGCTTTTAATTCGTTTGGTGATTTCCATGCACATCTATTTTTTTAGGCTGCATCTCCTTTATTAATATATTTCAATTTTTCGAATAAATAGTCCTAACACGTTTATGCTACGACTCGGACTACATTGCCAAGAGCGTCAGGTCAGTAGTGCCAAAAAACATAAAGGAAAGAGAAGAATTGGTGCATTTGTTGGTTATATTTTGATTTCAGCACTACACGATTATTTAAAAATGTTTAAAATGAGTATATTTAAACAATTTAGAAACCTACAGTTGCTTGAAAGTGCCCTAATTAGAAGTGGAATCAGTTCCTCAAAACTACTCGCTTCTCGTTCTATGTCATTTGCGGTAAAATTGGATAAACCGGAAAATTCTAATACAGAAAATAAAATAACGGCAAATGTATCGGAACAGCAGTTTCTAGTAAAGTTAAAATCAGATCCAGACAAATTCGGAAATCTGTCGCCGGATGAACCTCTTACCGAAGATGATCTGAGAGAGGAAGCCCACTTTACAGAACAACCCTTACCTACCCATAAATTAAGAACCAAAAATTATGCGGACATGATAAAAAATTTAATACGCCAAAGAAAAATAAAAGAAGCCATAGATGTACTCGAAATTAGAATGTTAAAACAAGATAGAGTGAAACCTGAAAACTATATTTACAATTTGCTTCTAGGAGCTTGCGGACGAGTAGGTTACACTAAAAAAGCTTTCATGCTATATAACGACATGAAAAAGAGAGGCCTGGTAATAACAGGCGGTACATACACAGCTCTTTTTAACGCTTGTGCTAATAGTCCTTGGCCCCTCACTGATGGCTTAACCAGAGCTCAGCATTTAAGAGATATTATGATTGAAAAAGGTTATGAACCCAATGATACTAACTATAATGCTATGATAAAGGCATTCGGAAGATGTGGTGATCATTCTACTGCATTTTCTCTGGTAGATGAAATGGTATCAAAAGGTAAGTGATTAGATTTTGAATTAAACCATTACAATTGAGTTCTTATTGTTCAGATGGCTAAATAACAATAATTAGAGAATCCCTATTTGGTCATAAATGTTTATAGTTTAACTATTAGTTTTCATTCTTTAAAGTTTTTGAAGAATAGGTTTTTTTATTGAATATGATAATTAACATTTTTATTTCTATAAATATGGTGACATTAGATGTAATAAGTAAATTGAATAACAATAGATCACATACTTCTATAATATACTTTACAAAAGACACATTTTGCAATAATACAACAGATTCGGTGCCGAATTAAAATTCTAACCAATATTTAATCAAAAGGTTTCTAATAATAGTGAGGAAAATAATAAATCTACTAGAAGAGGTGAAACAAAAATGCTTTCTTACAAGAATAGCTGTATATTCAATTACAAATAAATAAAAAATAGGTATTAAATGAATAAAATACATAAATATTTATTCAAATAGATAATATATGAAAAAAGTATCTTAATATTTTTTACTCATAATATTTTGCAGAATTTTTTAATTAGAGCAAATGGGATGTCAGCTAAAGTGTTCTCCAACTGGTTTAATGCTCCAGTTATCAATATTAACTCTTCCATGCTTGTTTATTTATCTATCGGTGTTGTTATTTATTAAAAAAAAATCTTTCACATCAAACAACTAATAATATGATACACCCCTATCCTACTGGAAGAGGTAGCGAACTTCGTACACCCTTCTCAAGATTAACAGTGGGTCAAATCACCCCGTATTATCAAGGAGCCGTCTTGTTTAACCATTCTGTTAGCATTTTAGGCAATATAGAAAACTTTAAAAAATTCAAATTTATGCTGTTTTAGTTTCTTGCAGGTAAGGCCTTTTACTCTGTTGATGAACTTTTAACATATTAATTTTATAACTTAAAATATATTTTACCTAATTTTAATTTTAACTGTCCTTTGTGTTAGTTTTCTGTATATTATCTATTATCTTAGCTCTAGAATTTTAAACTTGTATAAATTGGACAGTGTGAATGGTGTTTTTGTTTTTTCTGTTTTTTGTATGGACGTACTGTGTATAAGCTGACTAGTCTGATACTTTTTTTTTAAACATTGTAAAAATGTAAAAAAAATACTTTATTGACGAATAAATTCTATTCTATTCTATTATTTGTTCGACTTCAGGATAGCTATTCTTGAATTAAAGAGAATATAAACCAGTTTTCTTCTCTTTATCTGAAATCTACTAAATGTATTTATTTACTTACGAATCGCTTCCCTTTAAAACTAAATACAACAATACATAATACATCTCACAGTCATTAATATAAAATTAATTTAAAATATATATTAATTATTAATAAACAATTAATGAAAAATCTAAACCTCATACATATGTAACTGTTTATTAAATTCTGTTGAAGAGATATTTCTATGTTAAGTTGTTGGTTAGAGAATCTTATCACTTTATGAATAAAAGAATGATAACCATAATTTGTTAAAAAAGTTTTGAGAATGTATTAGCATTCCTAGTTGCTCTAGAACAGCCATACTCAACCTATTTTTCCTTCGGGCCACTTACGTATGTTTGCTATATTACATGTGCCGCAATATGTTGAATGATGACCCTTTATTTAGGTTATCCATTTAAAATTAGTTAGTGGGAATCTCTAATAAATAAAATAAAAAAAAACAAATGTATCCCATTGAGTTAGGTACTGCCTAAACAAGATAACTCACATTTTTAGAGTTTTGAAAAAACGCTGTTCAAATGTTTGAAATTAAAAAAAAAATAGTAAAAGCTTCAAACTGTTAAATAAGCAATAACTCCATTGAAAAAAGGTATTCTAAAACATAATTAGTCTTCACAAAGTATGATATAAACGATTTGTAACACAAAAAAAGAGGAAAGAAAAACGTAGCTTTGCTTATTTTAGCTGTCTACATGCAGGTACTGTGTCTTTAACATTATTGGATACAGGTAGATTATGTGTAGTACCTGATTTACAAAATTTTAGTAAATCTTTCTTCTTGGCATTATTAATGTCTTGCATTGTATTGTATTTTCAGAGGTTTTTTTTTTCACCCTTTCAGGCATGCCTCTACCGGTATGGCTTGGGTTTTTCAAGCAATGTGAAAAGCTGGTGTGTCGGTGTTGTTTCGGTGATTTAAGAAGTGCTTGTGGTCGTTTTAACGCGAAAATAATATGGAGACGAGCGTCAGCATCCCTGCTCGTTACAGCTTGACCAAGTACTTGTTACGGCTTATCAATCATTCACCACGGCGATTTAGGCATCACGTGTTATCATCTATTGGTCTTTCAAGGTTAGCTGTATCGTGGAAAGAAAGGGTGACGTAATTACCTTGTCGATTTCGGACCAATCGAGAAAGGCCAGAGACGGCTCTAGGCAAAACAAAATGTTGAAGTATTTCAACAAATATACATTCAACAAAAATAAGTGTTCTGACCTTTATCTTGTTTTGGCCGAAACACTATTAAAAATCGGACTAAATAGATTTAGCAAAAATAAGTTATGTGTCTCTTATCTGGTTTTGGTAGACACACTGGACACAATGTTATGATTATATTTCGGTAAAAATGCCATTCATCTTGTTTGTGCACATTGTGAATGTATCAATATGGAGTTAGTTTTATGACCATTTGTTTATCATGAATATAGACTTCGTTCACAATTTTGTTTATGCCGTATATTATTTGAACTATTTTGGAGACGAAAATGCCCAAAGTGGAGCTATCTTATTTTTGTAGAAACTCTATGATCCAAACGTTTATTTAAAAATTAGCGTGGTATTTAGCGCAGGGACCTATAGTTATAAAACGCATCTTCTCAATAATAGTGTTTCGGGCCGCAAAAAAGTTTGGAGGGTCGCAGGTTGAGTATGGCTGCTCTAGAGGGTACAGATAATGCAATTTGAGATAAGTATTTCAATTAGTGACAGTTCAAAATACTTAAATCTCAGTTAAGCACCTTAAAAAACTCCACTCCTGTCCTGCTCCAGCCCCTAACTATCCAAACTCACTTTGTGTGTACTAGATTCACACTTTCCTGGATCGATTGTTATCAATTGCACTCCACAACCAAGGAGCTCACCACATAGAAATTAAACAAAAAAATCTGTTTATACAACTAAAACTATTTTTTTTTTTCAGGCTTACCCATCAAGGATGACACTATAAATTTTCTATTGCAAGCTTGCATTGTAGACAAAGAGGCCGGATTTAGACATGCTTTGCTCGTTTGGAGAAAGGTTATTCAGAAAAATATCAAACCTAGCATTTATACATTTAATTTGTTAGTAAGATCTGTCAGAGATTGTGGATTGGGTGACGTTGAAGTAACTAGAAACGTGATAGATTCTATTTGTAATGAACAAAAACTGTTGAGCGGCGATAGTAAAAAGTTAGAAAATAAAAACGAGCTTATAGAAAGTAAAAATACAGACACTCATTTAGATCAGTTAGTTTCTAAGGACTCTGCTCTTAGTCCAACAAATTGTAGACCTGATTTGTTAGCTAAAGTACCTCATTTGGGTAACATTATCAGTCTATCAGAAGTTATAGAAGCGGAACATAGACTTCTACTCCTGGGTGGATTTAAAGGGTTTTTGGACACTGTTAAAAAATTCGAGTGCACACCAGATATTAAAACTTTTACGCAACTACTGTATTGTATTCCTAGTACTTTAGCTGCCGAAAAAGAACTAATAGCTGCTATGACGAGGTTTAAAGTCAAACCCGATGTTGATTTTTATAATATGCTTATCAAAAAGAGAAGTATGAGGTTTGAGTACGAATCCGCAAAGGTATAGTAAATCATACAGTATACTGATAATGGTGAAAAGTTTCATTACTGACTCGAATTTAACGTTTAAGACTTTGAATGCTTTATCGTGTTGTTGACAATGTACATGTGCGTTTTCAATTTGTCTACCTTTTGAACTGGTTATATTCACCATTGCATGGACAATGTTATTTACTGATAAATCAAGTAAGTCTTACTACTTTGTACATCCCTCTCTAGCCAGCCGTTTTTGCTGTCAACATATTGTTGTAATTTATAACACATTTAATTTCACCCATTAGCTTTCATAGATGATTCTTTTTTTTAAGATTTCCACTCGTTGTCTTCATTTAACAAGATTAATATTGTTACACTACGTGTCGTTCTCTTAAAATTGTTCGTGTTTTAACGACCAACTTATACATTTGTATCATAATATATTGCTTACAATCATTTATGTAATCAAGTTATTTGAAGATTATTTCAAAGTTGGTGAGTTAATTACTTTTAACTTAAATTCCACCTGGGTTCTGACCTCGCCACTAGCGCGCCTCAGTCGATCATTTTTTAAAGCTATTGCATAGCTTTTATCGCGGGCTTTGAGCGCGGCGACCGAATCAAGAAATTCCGTAACGAAATTAAACCTAACGTCCCCAACTCCGACCGGCACAGCGGTGGCACGGTGTTTGTGTGAGTGCGACTAGACGTATGCGTGTAGACTAGCTACTAACTGATCATAACTGATTCTATCTCTTTTAGACACAATTTCGGAAAAATTGAATTTGAAAATGAATAATGATCCACAAGAATCCACAACAAAATATGGGACCACCATTGACGCGGTGTTTTCCAGATATTTAGAAGATATCAAGTCTCAAACTTATGTTTCTTATTTCAGTTACCATATAACCTATAGTTTCATTGATAAAAATTCCTAAACAACCTACATGTATTGTAAGATAATAAAAATATTTTAAACAATATTAACTTCTCATTTATTCAATAAAAGAAAAAAAAAATGTTTTCTTATCGGTCACCATGCTCAAAAAGTGTAACTTGAATTAATATCAAAGAAAAAACTTGAATTAATATCAAAGAAAAAAAATACTGCATAAATAAAATAAATAAATAATTATAATTGCATAAGTTGATAAAAAATGCTATGCAATAGCTTTACCGCGGCAGTCCCCGAGTGCCACACGTATTTTTTCTACAAAAATAAATCACTTTGACTTGGGTATATTGTTTTTGTTGAATTCCTACACAAGGTACCTCACCTTCAGTATTGTAAAATTAACATTTTTCTTTAAGAGTTGTCATGGTAAAGCCTTTATCTTATTATAAGCTCCTATATTACACTACATTTAAATGAAATGTGTCTAGGAAAATCTGGCCTTTGTGTTTTAGATTACATTGTATCGTTCTATATGATCGGAACTTCTAGTTATTTTAACGTAATAAATTTATTAAAATTTCATTCAATATTTTTACTTAGGATGATCTAGTAATAAAAAAGCAATGTTGCCACTGTGATTTTATGTATTTATAACAGTAATGACTTCCATTGAAAAAAAATAATAAAGACGCACATGTGCGTTTATTAGCATCTAACGGTAACATTCGTTAGTCAGTGCTGACGACGCGCATAAGCTATTTAAGTTTAAATAGAAATTTACTATTTTGTTTATAAATACTTTTTTCCACCTAGCAGTATCATTACTTTAGGCTATTTACATGCAAAGTGTTATCTATCGTAACCTCTCGAGAGTAAAGAAACATTTCTCACCTCAGTACTTTAATATAGGTATCATTATTATCTATATATTTTAATAATTTTCAGGACGTTTTGAATTTAATGAATAAACATAATTATATGCCGGATTTGGTTACTTACGGTGTTTTAGCAATCGGTTGCAAAAATAAAGATGAGGCAACTGAATTGATAGAAGAAATGAAACAAAAAAGTTACAGGTAACGGTGCCTAGCTAATTTAAATAACCTTGTAGATCCGTTAAAAGAAAAACATTGACTTTTTTATATTTTTAGTTTAAATGCAGAAATATTGGGCGCCATGCTCCGCCAAGCATGTTACCATTTCAATTATTGGTACGTTTTGTATATCATGGAGGTGTGCTTGAATGAAGAAGTTCAACCTAACAAAATGTTTATGGAAACTCTACATGAATTTCATATAAGATCTAAAAATTTATATTACGACAAGGTATGTCCTTAACGAATTATGCCATAACTTGTTATGTTCTTTATTTTATTTTGCTATTGCCAAGCCTTTTGTCTTATTGTAGGCCTTTTCATCACAATTTTTTTTGTGCGCATGCGTCAGTATCAGCCATCTTTTTCGTACTGTTTTTTGTAAACAAGCATGTTAAAATGTCCACGTGAAAAAAATTATAATCGATAAATATTAATTTTAAGTGTATTCGTTTAAAAAATGGGATAAAAAAGTAAAGTAATTAGTGTCTTAATTGAAAAATCAATTTTTGCAATCAATTAATTAGGTTATCTTTACGGAAAGGAAAATACTAAACGGTATTGTTATGAATATGTAAAAGTGACACACGGTATAAATTATTATTTTATAAAAAGACTTGCCTACAATATCGTAAAAAAACAATCAAAATACATATTAAAACATGTTCAAAATGAGCATTATGAGTGAAAAAATGTGGTCAAAGTGACAAAGGTTTTCGATCGCTTGATGGATGATGTTACTAAAGATACTTATATTTGTTCACTACATTTTCATGGAGAAAGTGGTTCAACAGAAGAAAATCCTTGTCTGGTATTACACAATATTTTTTAATATTAAATACTACTACTTTAATATTATTAAAAATGTCATGTTGATCCTTAAAATTGTAAATAATTTATCTTATTAATTATACTCGTGATTAACTTTAATGTTAAAGTGTTTTTGCAGGTACTACTATTGGTTGGCATAATTAATTAGAATAGATTATTATTTGTTTACATTAATTTTTTATAGAGTTAATATGTATTGAAATCTAACCTCTCAATCACCACACTTTTTTCCTTGTTCCGAACGTCCACGTCACTTCAAGAACCTTTTTAATTGCTCACAACTATAACAGAGTTATAAAAATGTAAATCACCATCAACGATTTTTTCTAATGATTGATTTGTATGTAGAGATAATATTGATTTTCCAGCCATTGTTGATCAAAACAGTACGAAACTTTTCAATTGGCGCTATTTTAACATGGCGGCTGCGCTTGCGCTCATCACATGATGAAAAGGCCTATTAATAATAGTTGTTTTTTTTTTAAGAAACTGAGGGAAGAACTTCACAGGAGCTTCATTATGTTCAGGCAACGTTACAAAGTGTGGCTCCAACAAGTTTCTGTAGATGAAACGGAAAATGAACATCCCTGGAAACAATTTAGGCAGACCACAGATGAAGAAACCAAGTACAAACCAAAGGATGTAGCTAGGTTTAAACCTAGGCGCGCTTCTTTATTTAAAGTTAAAACTTCTACAAAGCATAGACGAGAAGATTGAATTATGTGATATTTTTTTTTATAAACATATAATTTTTTTTAAGTATTTTGTTTTTAAATGAGATTTGTCTAACTTCTAACCAATTAGGCATTCCAACGACCTGTCAAAATGCTGCCAGAGGGAACCGACAGTTTAGATATGGCAAACCTGTGGGCCTAGTATCATTGACAGGGTCAATGATACATATATACATTGCTCAAAGCGGGTCGTTTGAGAGCGGCCATATTGCCTGGCAAGTGTTTATTAACTTGAATCGGTTTAGCAAAAATGTGTTTTAAAACCAATTTCCAACCTTTGAATATTTAAAAAAAATTGCTTACATTTTTACTTCAAGGCATAAGCTTATGTTTATTTTTGAAAACGTGGATGCTCAGTCTATATAACTATCCTATATCATTGACCCGATCAAATCACCGTCCCACAGTGTTGCCATATTATAACCTATCATGTGCCTGTCATTTCAAACGAACAACCATTTTGTTTAGAATGTCTTAATTATTGCTGATAATTTTAAACAAGGGATGTGCTTTCATGTGAAGATGAATTTGTATGTTAACACAGGTTGAGTTGGATTTAATGGATTCTCGGTGAAACTCAAGATATTTAAGAAGATTTCATTTGAAATAATTAAAAATGTAATGGATAGTAGAATTCTCTGTAGGAGTAAAATTTATGAAGTGTTTTTACTTGTAATCGAGTGCGCAGTTACAGAGTTTTTGCTGCTTGAGGTTCCACAGAAGAATTATATTTTTTCAGAATAATCCTTTGGTATGGAAGAACCAATTTATTGAGCGAGTTTAAAAATTATGTCTATTGAATGTAGACTATTTCTTCTTCGACAAATAACATTTCTTCGGGGTCAAAATAGCCCAGACACGAAACCTGATCCATGGCAAGCTGTTGCTATGAAAAGTTCGCATACCAAGGTAAGGACGTTGATTATTAGGTCACGTAGCCTAGTTGAGTCACCTTTTGTTTTATCCCGCAGAAACTAAAACACGTGCACATTGGCAGTAGAAGGAGCTCCACTTTTCGATTATTCCGCAGATCTGGGGAAATTGGTAGAGTATATCTGACAACATCGCACCGCTAGATTTAATGGTAGGTACGTCCGATAATATTTCATTTTGCTATTCACTATTATTGACTGAATTCAGTTGTATTTATTCTATGGTAACTGCGCCGAGCATGTTGTGACGTTACAGCCACTGGTTGCTTTAGTTTTCTGAAAAAAATGGAAATTATGCAAATTTATTCCATTTATATATTTCCCAGATCTGCGGAAAAATCTACTTGATTTGCTATTTCGTATATATTTTTTGCGTCTGTTACCAAGGAGATAATTATTAGCGTGCATTTAGATTTTGCATATTAAACAAGTTAATAAACGAAGGTAACTGTATAGCATAGTGAATTGGCTACATAAATGAAGTAACAAGTAATCCTCATTTAATCGATTATGGTGTTCCACAAGGTAACTTACTAGGACCTACACTTTTATATACACAGGGTGTCCCGAAATTAGACGATCATATTTTAACAGCGTAATCTACATCCCAAAATAGGATTTGAAGTTCATATAAACATAGGTTCGAAAACGCTTCTTTTCCGAGATACAGGGTCCTAATGACACTTTTGTAAATATTTTCTAAACGTTTAAAGATAACTAAGTGAAATTTGGTACAAATTCTTACTTTTTTAATCTATTTAATGGACTAAACCCCAGTTTTTGATTATCTTCATAGGTGGGTAAATTAGGGGGTTTAGGGCAAAGTTTTTTTTTGTTGAGAGTTTTTAACATTTTTGACTATAAAATTTGGAAAACCAATGTTTTCTTTATAATAAAGCTACTTTTGTTGCATCTCGCTAGGACGCACCATTTTCAAGAGAAAATCATTTGAAAATTTCATAAGTTGATGTTATCTTATTCGAAAGTGTAAACAATAATTAGTAAGCCTGTGGAATCAGAAATGTTATTTTTTTTAACTTTGGAAAACCGGTGACTAAAGAAATTTTAGAAAATATTTACAAAAATGTGCTCAGGACTTCACTTGTAACACCCTGTATCTCGAAAACGAAACGTTCTCGGACCTATGTTTATATGAAATTTTACTCCTATTTTAGGATGTAGATTACACTGGTAAAATATGACCGTTTAATTTCGGGACACCCTGTATATATAAATAAATTCTTTGTCGTCCTTTAGTACGAGACAAATCATCGGTTTTGCTGACACGGTTATTTTCTACGAGGCAAAAGACTGGTACCAACTGAAAGGCAAAAACTGACTTTTTAAAAATTGGCTGGACCATAAGCTTTTAACAAATTAATTTGGACAAGACTAATTACTTAGCCATAAGTCCTAGTACTTCTGATTGTCCATCTTTCAATCTTGAAATCCCTTGTAAGGAAACGTATGTAATTAAGGCTGCAAAAACAGTAAAATACTTAGGAGTTACGATCAACTCAAACCTTAAATGGGCAGATCATATAAAACAAAAAATCTACAATTTTTTATATAAATTTCGATTTAAAAAAAATATATTATGTACCACAGCTATTTGTCCTTGTGGAAAGCCACTTGCGCTATGGTATAACATGTTGAGTGAGCGGCCGCAAAATCTCACATACAACCAGTGGAAATCTTACAAAAAAGAATTTTAAAACTAATATATTAGGCAAATATTGAAGATACTCAACTGAAAAACTATTCAAAGTGTGACAGGCTTCTGGTTCACCTACAGTGAATCAGCGAGTCTGTGTGGCGCTATGATGGTGATTCCCGAATAGGGGTTGCTCAGGCGCCAGTTTTGGTATCTTGCTCTGCGACCCTGTGGTACACCAGAGTGTACTCAAGGTAAACTCAGTGGAGGTAAAAATAATTCCAGGCGGTCACTGCTAGGTAGTAGAGGTGTGTCGTTCGCGAACGATTCGTTCAAAAAGAACGAATCAGTGCACTGACTCGAATGAATTAATTCCCTGTTTTTAAAAGATTCGAATCTTTTTTGAGTCAATTGTTCGACGGCTCTGTGATCGATCAAGAACGCCCAATTCCGAGTTTGGTTGTTTCGTTCATTCGGATCTGATTCGAAGATTCGGTATTTTAAATCAGCATCGGCAAATCGGTCGCTTTTGTTCTACGTTCTACAGCATAATACAAGAACTCGAACTTACAGGCGGTGGCGGTATGTGTCTGTAATATTTTCTCACTTTACCAGAGGTGTATTAAACTTAGGTAAACAATTTATGCGCGTTGTCTGATAAATAAATTTAAATCAAAGTAAATAAGTAAAGCAATAAATGACGAATCATATATCTATAATTTTTCGTTAGTTTTGGCTATATTTAGCATTAAAAAAAATTGTGTTACTGTTGTTTATCTTAACGGACAAGGATGAACCTACTATTATAGTATTTAAATTTCCATCTGTCTTCTTTTTATGAAATATTAATTCGCTATACTTTAAAATATCAAATTAAAATAAAACCGGTATTAATTATTTTACTTAAGCATCTCACCACTCAAATCATTACATTCTTTCTTACGCATTACAGACTGAACGCCATTCGACGACCTAGTAAATAGGTAGTTCTCAAATTCGTAAACGTTCGGTTTGATTTCCTTCGACGGATCGGCGGAATAACATCGTTCGTGGTTCGCTAAAGTGAATCACTTGAGAACGAATCTTTTTAGGTGAATGAATCAAATGAATTAATTCAGTAAAAAGATTCGAACTTCCCACCTCTACTAGGTAGCCACTATACTAAAATAAAACACTTATCTCCTTTACACCTCGTATCCTACGGTACCCTGAAAGAGAACGGTTAAGAACCAGCAATAAGTGAAACACAGGAATAGGTAATAAAATATATATTTACAAAAAAAATACAACGGTGGTAGTGCACGGCTGTAAACGGAAAATTAAGTAAAATGAATAATTACAATTAAACGAGATTACCAGAAAGTAATTACGGATCCCTATATACAGAAAAAAAAATAAAAGTGAATTATTACAATTGAAGCTAGTTAAATAATAATGGCTCCCGGTATTCGGAAGATTTACTAAAAATAAATTATTACACTTGAAAACTAATTAAATATTAACGGCTCCCTGTATTCGGAAAATTTATTAAAAATAAATTATTACACTTGAAAACTAATTAAATATCGGTTTAAAATCTCTCTTATGTAGACATGGTAGTCCATAGCTTCTACAAGAGAGTAACCCTTTCCACGAGCTGTTATAAAGACTAGGGGCTGAAATAGCTCTGATTGTCGACGGGGGAAAGCAAGCGAACACCGCTATCACCCCCTGGTTAACGCGAAAATGGATGAAGAGTGCGAGTGCCCCCGGATTTAAATGCAATTTATTTTATTACCCTGACAGGTACTAAGGAAATTAAAAGTTCGTATTACCTTTTACTAATACGGGAAAATCTTTAAATCGGAAATTATGTACAACCCGGTATAAGGAAGGTATGTTTTCCCAAATACACGAAATTAAATGTTCTGGTCAAAATAATAAAACGAACAAAAACGGCAATTAATTAAATATTGGGAAATATTTACGGTTCGCTAGCACAGGAGGCTAAGTGGTCCGGGAATTATGAAATACAATTGAAAACTATTTAAATATGACTGTAATCAAATGTAAGCAAATAAATGAAATCAAAGTTTTCGGAACGTCCCTGTATCTTAGTTCGGACCGATTGGCGCTCTGGCAATTACGCTGAACGAGAATGATAATTTTCAACGCGGTGTTTGGAACAAGAATGCGATGGTTAACGTAAAAATTATTTTGAAATTTGCCAACAGTCGATCAAGACGGTGTGTGAATTAATTTTACAGAAAACGTCGGGCTTCGTTCAATAATTACTTGTGGACGGGGAACGGAATAATTCAAATACAATTGAATGAATAAATAAAAGAAAAGAGAAACTTACATGAAAAATACTGGGCGCTTCTTATAAAAAAATTGCCAACGGTTTCCCACTAAGGGATGAAATGAAAAATGCTGGACATGAATCAAAATTCTTTCACTTGTCGGACGGGTGTCCCAAACTAATTGTGAAAAAAAATAATATGCGGTTTCCTACCTTAGAAAAATAAGCGGGGTTGTTCAGCAGTCTAACAATATCACGGTCACTCACTAATCGGTGGAGAAGAGAGAAGAGCTTACGGCTGCCGGAAATCAAGAACGTAATTCCCAGATGTGATCGAATTTATGCTTTTCGGTAAGTCCGAGTGGGGGATACCACTACTACAGCCAACTGTTTACAATTTAAAAATAAAAAAATGTCCTCCTAGTACCTTGACAAATAAAAGTAGATAATTGGTACGAAATCGACTCTACAAAATGCCCATTCGGATTTCGGCAAATATAGGGATATTTTAACCTGCTCGCAATTGTTGAAAAACAGTAATTCCTGGGAAACAGAAATACGGGGAATCTTCTACATGTCCTCAGGCGGGAATTAATTGAAATATACATTTTTAAAATTAATTAAAAAATAAAATTTAGTGACTTCGTCACAAAAGATACAAGACAATTATATTATTATAAAGTATGTATCAGGTACCACAAAACTGCTAATCTTGTAGAGTTGATACACAGTTATGACACTCGAAGGAAAAATTATAATAGGGTTCTTCAAATGCAAAAGACAATGACACAAAAGTCATATGTCTTCTTGGCGCCGACATTTAAAAAAATTAACAGTATTTCCATATTTCAAAAACTTATTTAGTTACCAAGAGAAAAATTTCACAATCTTATTGATTTTAAAACTTCTACACTATAGAGTATAGGCGATCTAGAATCAGTAACTCTTTCTTTCACATATCCTACAACCCAAATGTATGTTAGGAGCTCGACACAAGTGTTTTGTACACTTCCAGAGTCTCTATACTTTATTTACAAATTATTTTATATATTCTTATGCACCATTGTAATCTAAATAAAGTTTATTGTTATTATAATATGCCTCCATGTGTCGCTGGCTAAAGATTTTTAGACGATTGATAATTGAAAAACACCTATGTTGTAACACGGTTTATTATGCAGTAACAGCCAACACTACATTGCTTTTCACATATTTATAATATATACATAGTACTTTACCCGGTCCAAAAGCCGTAGGTTCCCCCTCTTTTGGTATTCGTTAGAGGCTGACGCAAGTGATTCGCGCGTACATACCAACTATTATTATTTTAACTTATCACTACTAATCAATTTTTAAATCGTGCATTTCTATTGGATATAGTTTATGTCATTACGTATTATAACTGCGCTAGTTATTTTCATTTTGTTCGATTTCTATACCTTGCCCTAAATCAATTCTTTTAAGTAAATTCAACAGGGGCAGTTTTGAACTATTCTTTGATTTTGATATACGAAATATGTTAAATAGACCAGAGCATACTGGCGCATTCGTTTGCAAAATTGTTTTAATTCGTATTTTTACTTTCCTATCTGTATACAGATATAAGGAAAGTATAGGAATCATGATTTTTTTCGACTTCGAGTTTTCGACGGATTTTTACGTTTTGAGGTCCCCTGAATCCGTTTTGACTATTTTCGCGATGATGTCTGTGTGTCGCATAACTCATGAACCGATACACAGAAAAACACCAAATTTTAAACTTAAGCTTTGTTCCAGCGTCCAATGAACTGATTAGATTTTAGGCAGAGTCGGAACATTTGGGGGGTACTTTATAGGTGGTAATTTTTATATTTTATGGAATATATGTTATTTACATTTGGAGAAGAAAATTCTTCAAATATAAGTTACTCCTAATAGTTTATCTATAATTTTTATTCTATACAAAATTTTCCTAAAATGGTCCGTATTCGAGAAATTTGACAAAATGTAAAAAAATATTTTTTTTATAAACATTGTTCAAACAAAAGTTGTTTGTAATATAATTCTCTATAATTTTTATCCTCTACATGATTTCTCTAAAATGGACCGTATTCGAGATATTTGAGAAAATGTGTAAATTTCGAAATTTGAAGAAAACTCAAAAACGGATAAAAAAAACATTAAATTTTAAACTTAAGTTTTATTTCGGCCTGACGTGAAATGATCAGATTTTGAAAAAAGTCGGAACATCTAGGGGGTACTTTATGGGAGGCCGTTTTTATATTTTATGGAATATATCGGTTATTTATGTTTGGAGAAAAAAATAGTTCAAATAAAAATTACTTTTAATATTATTCTCTATAATTTTTGTTTTATGTCAAAATTTCCTGAAATGGTCAGTTTCGAGAAATTTGACAAAATGTGCAAAATTCTGATTTTTATGAAAATTGTTGAAACAAAAGTTGTTTGCGATATCGATCTCTATAATTTTTGTTCATACATGATTTTTCTAAAATGGACCGTAATGGAAAAATTGTAGGAAAAGTGCTAAATTTAAATTTTTTAGTATTTTCGTTTTCAATGAACATCTATAGAAAAATGTTTCGAGGTAGATGTATGTGGAAAATGTATACAGTGAGCATCATAAGTCTTACCCCCCCCTATCTAACTTGTTACTGGAGTCTTGTTAGGAAAATCGCCGAGACACTTCGATTTTTGATTTCTACAGTGTACATTTTTGTATCAATAGTTTACCCTTAATTTCATCCCTTACTGGAGGGGAGCAACCCTTTCGAAAAATTTAAATGGCATGGGTTGGTGAGTGATAGCTCATTTGAAAGGGGGTTTTATTCTCTATTCAACCGTGCAAAAATTTTTGAAATTTGCTTCATTAATTCTCGACTAATTATTGTTTCAGAATAACGGAAATTAACGTAGCGCACTTATCCTTAGAATTAAAATTCGGTCCTGCATGTTATCGGTTTTGGTTCACACGTGACGTAAGACTTTTTGCCATTAGATAAGGTCACTGTTAGTTAAGTTGCTTTCCTATTTGCGATATTTTGTTATTTTTAAACATTAATAAATCAACACGTAATAAAGCAAATTTCAAAATTTTTTTCACGGTCGAATAGAGAATAATACCCCCTTTCAAATGAGCTATCACTTACCACCCCATGCCATTTAAATTTTTCGAAAGGGTTACTCCCCTCCAGTAAGGGATGAAATTAAGGGTAAACTAATTATACAAAAATGTACATTGTAGAAATCAAAAATCGACATGTCTCGGCGATTTTCCTAACAAGACTCCAGTAACGAGTTAGTTAGGGGGGTAAGACTTATGATGCTCACTGTATATTTAGTTTATCCTCTAAACATTTATAGAGGTACTGCAATAGGTTGTACAAAATAACCGGAAAAAGCCTGTAATAACTAGATAGGACAGTCATGTGTTGGACACATCAGATTTTTTTTAAATGTCCGGAAGGCTTTTCTGATTATAAAAGTGTAAGATGACACTCGATATTTGTTGATGTTATTGTTTAAACAACGAAAAATTAATTAAGCCATAAAAATGCATTTTTTGCAATGAATTAATTTTTTTTATATTATTTAGGATATTTCGAATAAAAAAGTCCTTACCCCCATCATCGTATCTTCAACCCTTTAATTGTTATGAATTTTTTAAAATCCAAAATTGAATAAAATTCCAATTTTCTTGAATTAAATAATATACCTTAAAATTTAAAATGCTATAATTTTAAATTTTTTACCGAATATTCAAACTATAATAAACAAAATTACCTAAATAAATTTTCAAAATTTTGTTTGTTATGTTTTTTTTTACGCTTCCTACGCGCGTGTACTTTTAGAGAGAAGTACTTCTACTTCCTCGCACTGAACGTTATCTATCTAGCTGGAAAGTACTAGAGAAGCGGTGTTGCCTTTTTCTGTCAAGTTTTTGATTATATATAACATTTAAACATGCGATGCGATGTTGCCAAATCTATTGCACAAATTTCCGCAGATCTGGGGAAAATCGAAAATTGTAATTAAGTGTCGCCTCTTCTGCTAGTTGTAATATGTATAGCCTATCTACGCTATGTGCGACTTTCGTAGATATTTAATATCCTCACACTGAACGTTATCTATATTCAAGGGATCTGTCGATCTGGACAGTACTGGAGAAGCAGTGTTGTCTTTTTTGTCAAGTTTCTGATTGAATATCAGACGTATTTATACTTACTAGTGAAACATACGATGCGGTGTTGCTAAATATATTCTACGAATTTTCCCAGATCTAAGGAAAAATTGAAAAAGGTGTACTATTGGTATTACTTCATTGGCCGATCTGGACAAATTTGTGCAGTCTTTCTACTTATAAGTGAATTGTAAGGTTTTGCCAAATCTATTCCACAAATTTCTCTAGATCTGGGGAAAAATCGCAAAAGTAGTGTTATTTTTCTTATCTAGTTTCTGATTAATTATCGGACGCACTTACCATTGAATCATATGGTGCTGTGTTGTCGGATATATTCTACAAATTTCGCCAGACCTGAGGAAAATCGAAATAAAGGAGTAAAGTGTCGCTTTTTCTACTTATTGAATCGTGCGGTGTTGACAGATCTATTCCACAAAAATCTCCAATCTGGGGAAAAAATCGCAAAAGTAGAGTTAAGTGCCGCTCCTACTACTATTGACAATACACAAGTTACCACTAGCACAGAGCAGGGAACTACATCATTGGCATAGATGCATTGAAATCAAGTTTTTTTTATTTAAAAATATTTTAGTCTATCACCGAATATCGTACAGCTCATAACTGCATTTTTTCGGTAGCGTAATTAGGGGTATCCAAATAAAAGCAAAAAAGTCTATAAACTTTTATCTTTATTCAAACTTAAAGTAACAATATTCTCTTTAAAAACAAAAATCAGTAACGTTACCACGTCAAGTGTTATTTGTCTCGGTAATTTTCATATAATATAAAAAATATATACAAAATTGTATGACTAAAAAAAGATACACGATATCTAAAATAAATAATGTAAGAACTTGTAGCATACAGTCTTGGCATAAACCTACTTTTATTGAGGTTGCCATGAAACGTATGACAACTGACTTAACTCTTGATTTAATTTTCGACATTTTACTAAGCGACCAGCTTGTTATATAGTGATTTAAACGACATTTATTACAAGCTCTTCAGTCAGCTATAACTCGAACACCGAAATCAAGTGATTTTACAGCCTCATATATAATAATAGTGTCTGGAAACGATGACTCCCTAAAACACCCTATCTTGATACCCTGAATCCTGTACAGCTGAGGTGGTTGGTCTAGGCATCGAGTGGTGCCTCATTTGAGTAGCTCTTCTAGGCGGAGCCAGAAATTCGAACATACTCTGAGTGTGATTGCCCAACATTTTGCCCAAGTCACAGGGCATCGGATCAGTCCAGAAGAAGTCGTGGTTCAACGCAGTGTCCGAGTCCGCGCGCTTTGATGGATCCAGGACGAGGAGTTTGTCCAGAAGGTCGCAAGCGTACGGATCTTTCAAGTAAGGCGTCAGTCGTTCTTTTACCTAAAATACAAAAATTAGAGCCCTTGCAATGGTCTATAAGATTTCTCCGGCATCCAAAAATGGCCCGCGTAAATAGTCTTGGCCACCGAGGATTTTTTGCACATCATCATATACAATTTTATATAATATGTAGTTTGGTTTTATATACTGAAGATATTGTAAACTTAATTGACATACCAATACAGTTTATGGCCAGCTTTTTTAGTTTTTTTTTTTTTATTTTTCATTTTCTAAAAGTTAGTTTTTTTTATATACAGTTTTAAAAGCTGTCTATCCGCTGTATTTCTATAACAATTTATGTCTTCAGGAGGAACAGAAAGCAGTTCAGGAGGTGATAACATTTAAAAACATCGAGAAGGCAGGAACAGTAAAGAAGAAAATTAAAATTGTGAATTTATAGGTACCATAAGCACCTGACCCAAAAAAAATTCTAGGCAAGGAGCGCCTACGTATTAGTTGGCGCCCAACGTGGGGCAGACACGAATTAAGAACATTCAAGGTGACTATTTTTTCGCTAGGGCTAGTTTCATTTTTAATTGCCAAATTCAACAACTAGTGAAATTGAGTGAAACTTGTCAATTTTAAGTAGAATTTCATTTAAAGTGTTTTTTGTGTGATTTTGATTTAGATTAAATAGATTTGAGAGGGGAGGGTAAAGACCGGTTCGGGTGAAGATAGAGGAACCAGAGAATGATGATCAGATGAATATTGGTGTAGAACAGCAGAAGGTGGAAAAGGATAATTAAATGAGAATTATGATAGAAATGATCATGAGATCAATGAAAGAGAGTAGTGAAAATATGATGAAATAAATGAATGAAAATATAAAAATTAAGGAATTCGTATTCATCTCAATATTATATGCAATAGTCATTAGATTCTCACCTTTCTCTTTTGCTTCTGCGGCAAATCCATCTTCTTGTACAGCTCGAGACTTTCCACGCCTGGCCACACTTGAGGCGTTATCGAACCGCACAATTGCGATATCAACGTCAATTGCTGCTGCTCGCTGTTACCCTGCATGATCGGAGACCGTGTCCACATTTCGGCCATGATGCAACCGGCGCCCCACAGGTCCACCGGCGGACCGTAGTTTCGTTCGCCGAGAAGCAACTCGGGGGGCCTGTACCACAGTGTCACCACTCGATTCGTGAACCTAAAAGAATATTTAAGTTTAGAGAAGAGGTGGGTTAAAGCTCTAGTGAACTTAAGGCTTGCATTTACTGGTATTTAATGAGAGATGGTTCAAGGTGCAGTACTCATTTAATATCTCTAGATTATTTTGAAGGGTAGAATTGAACAATTTTAAATCATTAGCATGTAGACGACAAGTACTATTTAAAAAGCAGGAAATTACGTCGTTAATGAAAAGCTACATAAGAATAGGACCAAGATGCGATCTTTGCGGAACGCCTGGTGAAATTGGTACTTTTTGAGAAGTAGAATTATGAATTGAAACTTGTTGGAAGCGATTAGTTATGATTTTATCCAATTGAGATACCTAGTTATCAACTATACCTATTTCAGAAAGTTTTTTTTAAAAGAAGTTGATGAGAAACACTATCAAAGGCCCTCGGCAGATTGGTATAAATTGCATTCAACTAGTAGCCAGCTTTCACAGAGGTTATTAGATAGTCCTGGAACAATAAAGGGTAGTAGGTAGTAAATTCATGCTCAAAGGGGGAGATATAAGATTCGAAGGAAGCAACTATTTTATCAGTAAGAATTATTAATTCAAATAATTTAGGAATGGTTGATATAATAGATACACCCTTATAATTTTTTGTATTAGATTTATCATCAGACTTCAGAATTAGATTGGAAAACTTCCACATATCTGGGAATGTTTCCTGGACAAAAGATTTCTGGACTATTAGGCTAAGGAGAACAGACAGTTTCCAGCATTTCAACAAAATCAAGCGGATCCCATCAGGACATGCATTCTTATTAGGATCAAGACTCTTGGGGAGTAGTATGTGTACTTAAAGTTGAGGCAAAAGTTACTAAAGTGGTGAATACGCATATTGTGACGTCGACAGTATTATAACAAGATTGGATGTGATGTGATGTGCAGAAGCATTAACGATTTTGTTACGATTAGTTTTAGATTCCTTATAAATGTCCAGAAATGCTTAATATGAAAAATATAAAATGTAATCAGAATTAGTAATCAAATGGATTGATCAGGTTTGCAGCATAAAATTAACTTTGTTTTAAGGGTAGATAATACATATCATATGGTTATGACACGAACAAATATATTTAAATTTTGTTCTCTATTTAACATGTGATCCAAATATAAGGACATAAATTACCAACTTGCCATTTTTAATTGCAGTATTCATAATATAAAAACATTTTGTTTTAACCAATTGTAACTTTGAAGTAACTAGTTGCTTTTCTTTTTTGGTGTGTATCCATGTACTCTTGTTCTGTAATTGGGTATTATACCTGTAGAACTTGGGAAATTAAATTTAAAAAATGTTCTTACCTATTTGGCATACCATTCTTATTAGTACTAAACGCTCTGGCCAATCCAAAATCGGCCAACTTCAAAACGCCGTTTTTCGTAATTAACACGTTAGCCGCCTTCATGTCCCTATGCAATATTTTATTGCTGTGAATGTAATAGAGTCCATTCAACAATTGTTGCACTACTTTCTTAATTTCGCCTAAACTAAATTTAACGTTACTGTTCGACAACAAACCGGCCAAATCATGTTCACAAAAATCGAAAACTAGATAAAATGTGGATCGGTATCGGTTGTGTATCGCCGCTTTCGTCCTGCAGATTTCTATGAGGTTCACCACGTTTTCGTGCTTCAACAGCTGCAGGATCCTTATTTCTCGAAGGGCCGTGATGGGAAACTGGAAAAAATACTTTTTTTAGATTTTCATCCCATTTTTAAACAAAAATTACAATAATAAATACCGTTAAAATTTAAAAAAAGCGCCTTCAAAAATAAATTTTAATGATTTTCTCATAGACACCCCACGATCAGATCATGACCAAATTTATATGGGATTACCTCTGAGGTACCACCTTTCTAACAAAAAAGATAATCCTGACGAATTAAAATTCTCCTCCCTTTTTGAAGTCGATTAAAAACAAGCAATTCGACACATTCAATTTAAAATGTTCAATTGAGACTCTTGTAACATCGAAACTAATGTGAAATGAGGAAATGAGAAAGGAAATAAACAAATATTGAATAAATATAGTTTAAAAAAACTAAAAAAACACGCTTTTAGAGCACATCAAACAAAAATAATTTTTCAAATAAGCTTAAAACAATAATAAATGGAAAATACTAGTATTATTGTGAAAAAAGCGTCGGGCGCTCGATGTACGAGAAATATGGACAAAGCGCCCCACGTTTTTTTCACAATAATACTAGTATTTTCCATTTATTATTGTTTTAAGCTTATTTGAAAAATTATTTTTAACTTTTTAGTTTGATGTGCTCTAAAAGCGTGTTTTTTTAGTTTTTTTTAAACTATATTTATTTTTCACTTTTTAGTTCGATGTATTATAAAAGCGTGTTTTTTAGTTTTTTTAAACTATATTTATTTTTTACTTTTTAGTTCGATTAATTATTTTAAAAAATTGCTAAAAAAACAATTTTTTTTTTTTTCAGCCGTGGACGGTGAGTCTGGCGATCGACAGACCCGCGCCTTAGACCGCTCGGTCAACAAACGAACTTGAGGTAGTGGGATATACTGACAGTAATATGCCACTTGCTTTTAGTCCAAAGGAGAGTTACAAACATACATACATACATACGGGTGAAGCTAATAAAAGCGTGTTAAAAATATCGACATCGGAATGCATAAAAAAAAGGAACAATATTACAATATTAGTAATATTACCCGAGTTCAAAACTTATTTTGTAAGCGACCAAAAACTGTTTCGATTGCCCATCTGAGCATGGTAACAAGACGAGATTTGTGTCGTCAGTTGTTGATTGGCTTCTGGTTTTTGTTGCAGAATATTTAATACTAACACTGCAAAGGCCCGACTGGATGATAAAAATGGTTGCAATGATAGGCAACATTTGAGTGAACATTTAAAAATTCACGAGAAAAGTAAAATGCATTTCGAAAATCTTAAAACATGTTACTATTTAATTAGATTTAAAACAAATACGATTGATCTAACTTATAAATATGTTGTTTAATGCTTAAATATTGGAATGCAGTTATAAATATTCTAAATAAAATCTGACCTTCCGTGGTCAAAATTTGAAGTAGTTTCAAAATAATAAGGGTAATTTCTTGAAATGTGTGGAAATGATTGCAAAATGCGATCCTATTATGGGTGAAACTATTAAGAGGGTATACAGATGCAGAGCAAGAAAATATTTTAAATATAGTCAAAAACTCAAAATATTTTTCTATTATTCTTGATTGCATTAAGGACATCAAGCCATCAAGAACAAATTTCTGTCTGTATCAGGTTCGTAAATTTAGAATCAACGTCTTACGGTTTAAAAAAAATTCTACTAAAGATTTAAGAAACATAATTTAAATTTATATGATATGAGAGGCCAGGTATACGATAATGGTGCCAACATGTGAAGCAAGCATGCTGTTTTACAAAAAAGATTATCGATTTAAATTAAAGATCAATTTTGTTTTGATTGGTTTTTCCTGCTTTTTGATGTTTATTTTTTGTATCCTGAGGCATGTGGATTAGATCATAGTTTTGATTGTTTCTGGCCTTTAGTTGTTATTTTAAATTGTTTTTGTTTAAGTTTTAAGAATGTAAGTTAAATTGTATAATATAAAGAAATGCACCACCACGTATATTGAAATATAATGTAAATTTTGCTATTGTAATAAGCCTCATAAATGTGTGATACTGATTTAAAATTTGACAGGCGAAAAATCTTTCTGATTTAGCACATCTCTTTATAGTAAAGTTATCAAATATATTAAAAAAATTGTAAAGAATGAATTAAAGATAAAAAAAATCACACTTTATTCAAAAGATTTTTGACATCTTCATTAAAATTGATTCTAATTTTGTACTTTTCTTAAAATTTCTCCATTATGGTCCATTTTAGAGAAACTGTGTATATGACAAAAATGATAGAGAATGACATCACCAGTGAGATAGAATAAAGAGGAGATGCTATGATGATGCTAAAGTGTCTGCACCTTTGTATTACCTTTTTACGTCATATGTCAAACTGGAGCTAGTACGTTTTGGTGAGAATAAATACCATTCTTTAAAATAGCTTCATTTCATTAGTCTTCAAATATAAAATTATTGATTTCAAATAAATCAAAGTATGACTCAAGTCGCCATTTTCATTACATTTTTTCGTCATTCTAAGTGCGTCCATGTGTCAAATCGCAAAATAGTGTTTATGTCGTCTCTGCTTTATTCTATTCAGATAATTTTCTTGTCAAATCATAAATAAGTTATATGCATTAAAGTAGACAACCCAACCAATAAAGTAAGTACCCATGGATCTCCAACAGTTTTAAATCAAATTCTATTAAAGTATCTTCTGGAGTACCGCAGGGAGCCCATTTGCTGTTTAATGTATTTGTCAATGATATTACAGATTGCTTAAAATACACGGAGGATTTAATATTTGCTGATGATTTTAAATTTTATCGACAGGTACAATCATTTGAAGATATAACTTTAATTCAGGAGGATCTAAATAATTTAAATAATTGGTGTTCTAAAACAAATTGCATTTGAATGTGGATGAGTGTTGTTCTATAAGTTTTTATAAAATAAATAAATAAATAAATAAAAAATTTAACACTCATTACTCAATATACGGAGATCAACTGTCTTATATGACATTGATAAAGGACTTGGGAGTGGTGTTTGATGAGCAACTGCAGTTTGTGGAGTATATAAACTAACTTGCAGTGGAATCCTCTAAGATTTTAGGCTTTGTTTTATGAAACTGTCGTGATTTATCTATCTGGGCTATAAGAATAGTATTTTTCCTTAATTGTTACGAAATTACAATACGCAGCTATCGTATGGTCTCCACAATATCGAAATCACTGCACAATACTAGAAAGAGTTCAGAATAGGTTTTTAAGATACTGTGCTTTCAGATTAAATATAGATGTCACTGATCATGATTATACAGCAGTTTGAAGAACTCTTAACATGGATAAGTTAATTAAAAACGAGAAGAGTCGGTTTTAATATTTGTTTTTAAGCTTTTAAACGGTCTAATAAATTGACCTGATCTTCTTGAATTGATAAGGTTAAATATACCTGCCAGGAATTTAGGACATTCAGAACTTTTTTTATAATAATTTTAATTATACAAACTATGGCACATATTCTCATATAGATCGTACTTTAAGAACAATAAATAATAATGAAATCGAAATATTTGGTATATATCTCTCTAAATTAAAAAATCATTTAAAAAGGGCTGGAACGTTTTGTAATTAAGTTTCGATTATTTTTTTTCTGTAAATATTACACTTTTGTTTATATTAATGTGATTTTTATGTAGTTGATAAGATATATTTAAATTGTTATACTGGTCTCTGTGCCAGCGAAGTAAGGGCTATTGTACTTCAAAAACGTGTAATAATTTTTTTCTGTGATGAGTGTGTATTCTCCTTTACAAAAATCCCCTTGTTGCTCAACAAGATTACTAAGTTAGAAAACGAAGTGAAACCCTGAAGAAAGATATGAAAAAACTTAATGAAGTAATGAAACTCGATACTCAAGAAATTTTCAACGAAGTTTAACCCTTTCTGTCCCAACGCCGCATATATACAGTGAGCATCATAAGTCTTACCCCCCTAACTAACTCGTTACTGGGGTCTTGTTAGGAAAATCGCCGAGACAAGTCGATTTTTGATTTCTACAATATACATTTTTGCATGATTAGTTTACCCTTAATTTCATCCCTTACTGGAGGGTAGCAACCCTTTCGAAAAATTTAAATGGCATGTGGTGGTGAGTGATAGCTCATTTGAAAGGGAGTTGTATTCTCTATTCAACCGTGCAAAAAAATTTTAAATTTGCTTATGGTGCTCACTGTATGTTTTTTAAAAAGTGGGTCTGTAGTCCCAGCCGCCGTATATATACGTTCAAGGTGGAATGGTCTCAATTCACCAAAGCCGAAAATATGCACTACTTATAAAATTTTAGACCCATTGGGGTCCCAATGCCGTAGAAATATGTCCGAAAATGTTAGATTATTGGTCCCAAAGCCGCAAAATGTTGGCACCTAAGACAGGTCATGCGGACCCATTGCCGTATATATTTGTTCTCATATTGTAGCATGAAAAAACCTCTGGGACTGAGGGACCAACATGTAAATTAAGGCCCGGGACAGAAAGGGTTAAGAGCGCTCATTGCGGTCCTCAAATGTTATGCTGTACAATGTTCCTGAACCTGTTTCTACCACGCTGAATAATAAAATTGCAGAGGATAAAGTTAAAGTTGCTAGAGTTTTGAATAGTGTTGGTATTGGCGAGGCTGAAATTGTAAAAGTACTGTGAGTGGGAAAAATTGGAAACAAACCTAGGCCAATCAAAACTGTACTAAAAAATCCTCAACTCGTGAACCAAGTGTTAAAACTAAAGAAAAATGCAACATTCGGGTCGATGGTGTAGCGGTCTATCGCGCTTATATTCATTTATAGGCGAGTTTATGAGTCCGAGACTGCTGGGCTTCGAATCCCAGACCAGACCATGTGGATTTTTAATTAAATTGCATGGTTCGGTTTATGATTTGATGTGTGCCGTATTAATGGAAATTCAATTTCTGTTGATATGACATGCATATTATAAAATCGCCATACATTATCGTCTCGATGATGGTGGGTGAGGTTTTCCGGGTTTTCCTCACCTGTAAGTCAAATGGCACCATCAATCATCCTTAAGTCGCCTCGGAGCGCCACGGCAAATAATAATAATAGCCGTCACTTCCCCTACACAAGTCGTTCAGTCGACTTCAGGGGTTGAAATTCACTCGTAAGGGGGTGAATTAGGGAGAGTATTATTATTATTTACTATTAAAATTGGCATGGATAAGACCAAGATGCAACAAGAACAATTACGGGAAGTTCAAGATGAGTTGAAATCTAGGCTAGAGCACGGCGAAAACGATTTAGTCTTAAAATTTGCTAGAGGTGTCCCCAAAATAATTAATAAACCAAAAAATGCTTAAACGGGAATACGCTGAATAAACTCACAGTGTTTTATCACAATAATTTTAAGGTCTGCCGCAATTACTAGTAGTTTCGATGTTATAATACTATCTGAAACGTGGTTGCATGAAAATTATTCAGATGCGGAAATCGGCTTGCGTGGATACACAGTTTTTTGTGCTGATCGTAACCAAAATACCAGTGACTGCACAAGAGATGGTGGTGTTCTTATTGCGGTAAAAGAGTCTTTCATAGTCAACAGCTTAAATGTAAACAATTTAATAGAGCATCTGTTTGTGAAATTTGTTATTAATGATAACAAATTTATAATTGGAGCAACTTATATTCCTCCTGGTTCTAATGAAATGATTTATTTAACTCATGGCGCCACAGTTGAGGAAATATCAACTCAGTATCCTGATTATACGTTGTACTTATTTGGTGACTAACCTTCCATTAGCTTCTTGGGCTAAATTAGATGAGGATGATTTATTAGTTAGCTGCCCTTTACATTATCCTGCAAGAGCTTTGGTTGAATATTTTTCATACTTGAACTTAAAACAATGTAACTGTATATCTAATCCACATAATGTATTCTTAGATCTTATTTTTTGCAATGAACCCTCTTCTTTAAATGTTTTTAAAGCTATTGATCCTCTATTAGATGATAATTATCACCACTTAGCTATTGAATGTGATATCATGCTTGGGAAATTTGACCCGCTGCCTTTTGAGGATTTTTTTGTTGATTTTAAGAATGCTGATTATGTGGCAATAAACAACTATCTGTCTCCTATAAATTGGGATCAGTTTATTTTTAATAATGAGTTTAATACATCAATTAGTAATTTTAACCAATGTTATCAAATGCCATAGTAAATTTTGTTCCTATAAGGAATTGTATTCTTCTGAACTTAAAATAATAACTTACCATAAGAAGAAAGCTCATGCAAAGTTTAAAACTACTAGGTTGCATTCAGACCATCTTATCTTCTCTAATCTGAGATCTCAGTGTAAAGGTCTTTGTAAAACCTTACGAGGCTTATATATCAAGGATGGATCAAAATATAACTGAAAATCCTAAGCAATTTTGGAGTTATGTAAATTCACTTAGGAAGGATCATGGGATTCCAAGTAATATGTCTTTAGATAATGAATCTACTTATGACGGAAATGGAATAGTAAATCTTTTTGCTTCCTATTTTTCATCAGTATATAGTGATATACCTACTAAAGAATTGCGCATAAATAATAAGCTCAAAGTAGACATTCCTTCTTTTCGAATTTTAACGGGTGAGGTTTTCTCTGAGATTTTTAATTTAAAAGATAACTTAAGCTGTGGTCCGGATGGACTGCCTGCATATTTCCTTAAGAGATGTGCATATACATTAAGTGTACCACTTTGTATGATGTTTAACCAGTCGATTTCTAAGGGTTATTTTCTCGCTACGTGGAAAAGTAGCTATGTGACACCAATCTTTAAAAATGGTGATACGTCTAATGTTAAGAATAATTACCGACCTATCAGTAAACTCTCTGTCATCCCCAAATTATTTGAGCTGCTGGTTACAAAATTTCTTTCATGGCGTTGTAAAAATATAATTATAAATGAAGAGCATGGTTTTACCTCTGGCAAATCTAGTGTAACAAATCTACTAATATATCAGAATGACATCATTAACTCATTTGAACTAGGTAGCCAAGTAGACACTATTTATGCTGACTTCAGTAAAGCATTTGATACGGTGAACCATGCTCTTCTAATTCACAAACTAAAATTGATGGATTTTCCAATCTGGTTATCCAGCTATCTTAGTAGGAGAACACAGATCGTGAAAATTAAAAATCACATATCAAATTCAGTCATGGTTTCCTCAGGAGTTCCGCAGGGCTCTCATTTGGGGCCACTACTTTTTAACCTCTTTGTTAATGACATAGGTTCAATTTTTGAGTACTGCAAATTTTTACTGTTCGCTGATGAATTGAAAATGTACTTAAGAATTACTTCCTGGGAGGACTGTTATAAATTGGAAAGAGACATTTTAACACTTACCAATTGGTCTGTTGATAACGGTATGTCTCTGAACACTGATAAATGTTATTCAATTACTTTTACTAGAAATAAAACTCCCATCGTTTTCAATTATTCACTTAATAATGTACCCATGGACAGAGTTGTTACTATCAAGGATCTGGGTATCAGGTTCGATAGTCAGCTGTCATTTACTGAACATATTAATTTCAGTACTAGCAAGGGTTATCAAATGTTGAGGTTAGCAATGCGTAATTCAAAGGATTTATCAAGTAAAGATGTTTTAGTGGTTTACAATGCTTTGGTATGTTCCTTACTGCAATATGCTTCTATAGTCTGGATACCCTATTATGCAGTTCATATCTCAGCAATTGAACAAATACAACACAAATTTTTGAGATATGCAGTGTATAAAATGCACTTACAGGTTGGCAATTACAGTTATGAGGAAGTTTTGAATACACTTAACTTATTAACATTAGAAGACCGTAGAATATTTATGGAAATTACTTTGTTATTCAAACTATTGGTAGGGGATATTTGTTGTCCAGAACTTTTATCCCTTTTCTCACTTAGGATTCTGAATAGGACCACTCGTAACCACAGTTTGTTAGCTGTTCCATTTCATTACACAATTTATGGATACCACACTCCTGTCTCTCGCTTATCAAGAACAGCCAATAGTCTTGGTGAACAGGGCATTGATTTTTTCGGTCCTTCCCTGAGCACCTTTAAAGCTAAGTTGAGTTCAAAGCTTTAAAAAGATGATGTCTGTGATTTGATAATAAATGTATTTATTCTTTGTATCTATGTAGGTTAATTACCACTGTATTATTTTACTTTAAAGGGGGTTTTCCATTAAATAAATAAAACAACTAAATAAATTTTTGTAATAGGAGAATCCCGTAAATAAATACACCTTTACACGATGTGAAATAGAAAGATGGCGTTTTATTATTTTAAAAAAAATTTTAAACTGTATTCATCCCCTTAAATTTTATAAATTGACTGCACCTGAAGATGGAAAAATTATGTTTTCCGAAACATATGTAGTGTGCTAAACAGTAGAAAATAAAAACATTTCACCAATTTAACCAAGGAAAATTTTTATTTATATAAAATTCTGCTACGGTCAGGAAATTATCCTTATTCAAGTAAATAAATAAACTATGCCCAAAATCTAATCTGCTGATGGATAGCAGGATGAATTAAATGAAGTTAAAAATTGAATTTTTTCTTTATACTTCATTTCGATTTTTTAACAACAACATAGGTCTTATTACCAGCATTTGAAATAGCTTGAAAATTTTATTGCAGAAATGTATTCCACGAATAATCTTTTGGACATTAATTTAATTTTAATACATGTAATTAACTTTATTTGCGATATTTGGGTACATTAATTATTCATCTATTCTGTACTTACCCCTTCTTTTTCATTGTCCATAAGAACCTTTTTCATTGCTACAAATTTTTTAGGATTACTCTTATCTCGGGCCTTAAATACCTCCCTAAAAGTAAAGAAAATATATTGTTTTATTTTTTATTGTCTGTTTACCTATTAAACATATAATTTTGTTGTATGCAAAGAGGCATCTAATATATCTACCAAAAATTCTTATCTACATCTATGCCTGCTATGAGACTTACAAGAATGGTGCAGCTGCAGCTCAACTGAATTATTTTAAAAATAAATAAATTATAAATAGGCATGATGATTTCCAATCTCAAGTAGAAATTGGACTTTAAAAGAAATAATATAAATATGCATATTTTCAAGGATAAACTACACAAAACATTGAATGAAATGTAAACTGTAATTTAAAAAAGATTGAACTGAGATGGATGATTTTATTCTTGGCCTACTTTAAAATTCCATATTATTGTTATAAATAGAGGTCAAATTATTGACTAAGTTTAGTCAAGGATGCTTTTATCACCAAATTTGTGTCAATACTCTTTACATAAAAATTTTATTTATAAATGTCACAAAATTTAATATTTATATTTTATACTCCTATTACAGAGAAGAAACAAGGTTGATACTCTGATGAAAATACACTTAGCAATGAGACATAGGTATATTATGTTTAATTCTGTCTATTTATCCATTCATTTTAAGGGAGGGGGGGGGGGGGGGGGGTAAGGTTAATTCATACAAAAAAATGCACATTTTTGTAAAATTTTTTTGACGACAGTTAAAATCTGTTTATTTAAACTAATGGTACATTAAAGTATAACATTCAAAGAATATTGTGTCAAATATTCTTTTAGAAATATTAAAAAATACGGAAATGGCAGTAATTATTTGGAAAAAAGTAGAATTGCAGTGCCCCTCCTAACTCGGTGCTGGATCATCAGAAATAAAAAAATCAAAGTTCTTTCGTTAGATAATCATTTTTCACAGGTAACGCTGGGAGGGTTTTTCGAAATTTCAATTTTTCACTTTTTGGGAAAACTTTGAAGTAAAAAAAGCGATTCTTGCAAAAAAAAAATAGACCAATTTGTTATTATAATATAAAAAAATATTGACAAATTAGAAAAAACTCTCCAGCGTTACCTTGTAAATTATGTACAGAAATAAGGTTCAAAATTTCAAAAGGATAGGTGCAGTAGTTGTGAGGGGCACCAACTTTGGAAACATGAGTTGTGGGAAAAACACTTTAAAGTTTTACACTAAAAAATTTGGAATAAAACGTTCATAAGCGAGTTTATCGGCTTATCTCAGACTGAATCATTGATGCCAGGTCCATAAAGGATGTTGCGATCATTCATGATGTCTATAGCATCTTTTTGTTCCTGTCTATAACGAATCCTCATTCATGAGCCCTTGATCCATGTCATGCATGGAGGTTAGTAAAGCAAAAGAACCTGCCAGGCCATGCTACACTAAATTATATACAGTACAGGCATAAACACGTTTGTACTTGTGTTGAAATTTCTATAAAGAAAGGTAGAAGGTAAGGTTAGAGATTGTATAGAAAGCGAAACATCTGTCAGGTAACAATAGCACGCTCGGGCCGGGCAGGTGTTTTCAGATGCGCTGAGTAATGTATGAGGCACCATTACTGAAACCGCTGTATCTTCGTTAGTTTTGATCCGATTCATCTCAAACTTTCACACAATATTCTTGAAAGTTTCTCTATTCTATTTTGAGCTTTAATATTTAAACCTATTACTATGTATGTGATTTTGTGAATGTGATATTTTTGTGTAGGTATTCTACATACATATATTAATTGTTATTTTTTTTAACTCTGTGTACCATTTAGAATAATAATTCTGTAGTGTACCTATTTGAATAAAATTATATTCACAAAAACAAATATAAAAAAAATGCAAAAAAGTTTAAAACTTTACCCCCCCCCCTTAACAGATAATGCATATTCAAATAGGTAATTAATTATTTACTATTTCTTTTTATAAAATAATGTATATAAACTGATTCATAAATACTGATTTAAACTCCTTCTACTGCAAGGTGAATCAACTTTTAAAATATTGTATGTAAAGGAATATATTACATTGTGGCTGGAAAGACAAAGAGGTGTAACTCCATTTTAGCTATTTTACAGGAGATGCATTTTGGTGTATAGTGCTTTGCTTAAGCATCTGTCCATATTATATGCCATATTGTGTTAACTACAATGAGGAGAGATATGCTTCTTTGTCACATCATAAATATCCACTTTAACAGATTTGTGGTGGCCTTAAGTGAAATTGGGCATTTTTGGACTCAAGCCCCTTTCCAGCAATGACATGTACTATGGCTGACTCATTTAATACATAAAATTGATAATATTTCCATAATCAGATTGGAATATGTATGTTAATGATTTAAATTGTGTTTATAAGATAAAGGTAAAATAATAATTATTCAAATGGATCACATCCTCTATACAAGTTTAATAAGTTAATGACCTACTTTTATGCATTAAAAATAAGTGTATTTTAAAAGTAGCAAGATATTGAGGCATTTAGTACTAAGTACCTAGTACTCTTCCTAGAATTAATATGTTAATTAAAGAATATATTGAATATTCTATAGTATTCATGATAAATAGAATACATTGTGAAATGTGTGATAAATATTTAAATCATAATGCTACTAACCCAAAGGTTCCTTGGCCTATTTTGGTAACTTTTTCATATTTAGAAGTTAAATCACAAAAGGGAAAATTGAATTCTTCAATGTATTTTTCTTTATCACGCATATTCATCACAGTAGAATGGGTATGGGTTCCAGAACTAGAGTGATTCGTATCACGGTCACGCGTATTATTCTGCATCTTGGAAATAGTTATATTGCATTCACGACTATATATACTATAAAAGAAAATTGGTAAAATTGTTGCTAATTATCATTTTCCTTAGATAAAAACTATTTTCGCAATAACTAGCTTTTCACAACATAACCTTTCACTAGCACTCCCGAAACGTCAATGTCAAATGTCAATGGTCTGTCGTTCGTCATTGCGTTCGGTCTGCCACTTTCAACTCCAAGAGCGCGTTCACGAAACATGCTCCTACCAAAAAGAGCGCGATCAATTTGGTCTTGGATCGTTCAAGAACAGTCGAGCGTTCAATTTGGACGTTTAGCTACTCTCGTTCAGAAGCTGTAAACTGTGTCACAGGGTTCAAAATGGCCGCGCCCTATGTTGGGCGTGTCGGACCCACATACACTCATTGCGTTCGGTTTGCCACGTTCCTTTAACTCCTTTAACACTTTTAACTCCAAACGACTCTTTTAGCGTTCGGTTTAGTCCGATTAGTGACAGTTTAACACGCTTAAATGTCATTTAAAAGCACCCTAAAATTTGTCCCGCTCCAGCCCCTGACTGACCGAACTCGCCTTTTGATTACTATACGAGGCAAGAGAGAGGTCCGACACGCCCAACATAGGGCGCTGCCATTTTGAACCCTGTGACACAGTTTACAGCTAAAAAATCAGATCGCTCCTTCTGCGTCGGCACTTTGGATCTCAATGGCCGTGTTCATCGTCGTCAAACATGTTGTAACGCTGAGTAAGCGGTGACGATGAACTGTCAACCGCTGCAGCGCTTTTGAAGAAGCATAAAAGCGAAAATAAACTCGCTTGTTTGCTTTAAAAGCATAAAATTGACCTTGAACCCCTGTCAAATCCGTCTTTTGGCATTTTGTTAGGTTATGTGTTTGTTTATTTATTTATATTTTTAAGGTTTTATACCCTAATAGAGTTGATTAGTTAAGTTGTATTTTAATATATTGTATTTATGGAGGTACCTATTTGAAGAAAATAAAATTAATTCCAGACGTAGATACATACACTTATGCTTAAATTATTTCATTTGGACGTTAATGGGATTCCACCAGTAAGGAATATGGATAATATAACATACCTACATATTATATAGTTTTAGCACAGTTATTCAAAACAGACGAGTTTTGTTATTAAAACTGCACCGATGTTTCTGTTTTCATGTAATGTATATAGGGCCAAAAGGGCATTAAAAAATAAATAATAATAATAAAAGTATGAAATTTTATTTACAAAATAAATTAAATATAAGCAATTATATTAAAAAGGGCCCACCTTGGTTTGTTGAACCTTTAAAAAAATACCTCATTACTGTATACATTTCAAATAATTTTTGCTAATAAGTCGCTCTACCTATATGACAACATTAAGTTTGTATATTTATTAATTTCCAATACAAAATATATCATTCCTATAAAAGAATTAATGTATATAGTTTGTCGATAAGGTATGTATAACTCTATAATACTAGACAAATTTTATTAATACATAAAAATAATTCAGACTCAATATGAATATTAGCAATGACCAAAAATGTATAACACCTAAGTACCTAAATCAAAAATACTTTATAAAATAGTATATTATGCAACGATCATGTAATGATGGTTATTAATACACGAGCATTAACCGGGATACGAAACGAGCCAAAGGCGAGTTTCGTATGGTCTATGCGAGTGTTTTAATAACCATTACATGAGAGTTGCATACGCTATTTTTTCTACACCCGATAAATAATCAAGACCTATAAATATTATATTTATATTGGTATTGAACACAATAACAGTAATTACTCGTATTTCTATAAAAAATTCTACAAAATTGTAATTAATGGTATTACTTCGGGTATTGGTATTTCCCTAGATTTTTGCTGCAAAATATTTTGTACTGTATTTTCTGCTTTCTCCGATATGTGTGGAAGAGTCTTCTATATCGCTGATATGAGACATTTTAATATTATAATTATCGAAGTTTAGCTATCTACGAAAATTTAATACGTTTTGACAACTAAAACAATTACATAGAAACCTAGGACAAACGTCAAACAGCATGCTTGATTGAAAAATAGTAGGTTTCTATTGATTAAAAATCTGTATCGTAATGAAAAATCTGTATCATAATGGGTATCATTATGAAACGGATTATGGGCATATAAGTGCATTATTATAATACGGGTGTAGAAAAAAATAAGTAAAGCATTAGATAGGGATTATTTTAACAATTTTCGGTTTTTGTAATAAAACGTTATCATTTCTTACCTCACAGCAAGAAGCCTGTAAATTTTAAAAGACAACAGCAATTTTTCATTATTTTTAATGTAGAATAACAACAGTAAGATTGTAGTAAAAGTAAAACAATAATATAATAAAAAAATGTATTAAAAATAAGTGAAATAACATAATTTTATGTTTATTTATTAGAAATTAGAAAAGCGAAATAAAACTTGTTTAGTGGGCTGATTTTCTATATTTTAGTTTTTAAATGGGAATGGAACTGTTGACGTGACTTGTTTATGTTATGCTTGGCTTTCAATACTGATACTTCAAATTAAGTAAGTTTTTTTCACTAGCACATATTTATATGAGATACCACTCTTTTTTGAAAAATGTTTTGAATCAGATCAAGTTTTCTTTTAAAGCGGGACATTCTTGCATTCTTTGGGGACAATGGAACACATAACTTGAAAGTGGGTTTGTCTTGCCTAAAGCGGGACTTATGATGTTAGGTATGACTCAAAAATAAAAGTTTACTTCAGGTTGATTTTCATTTTTATCTCTTCCTCCTTTTTCGAATCAGTTAGTTTTGAACTGGTTTGAGACACATGCCTCAAGTTCTGGGCTGGAGTCCAGTTTAAATGATTACTAACTTTGAAGGAATTCTGTTTCCCTAAAAATAAGAAAGTCATACTTGATGTCTCTATTATTAAACACTTTTATGTATCCTTGATATATGTAAAAAGATCACTTTTTGATATGTATGTTATTAGTATCATGAGTTCCTTTAATTTATTGGTGCAGACCAGACAGTTGATTAAACACAATAAATAGCATTCTCATTCTGCTCTTCAAAGTATGATCTAGTTACAGTATGTTTTTATTTGTGTGTCAAAAAAATGTATTTTACCTTTAATAAAATGACTATTACAATTTCTTTGACTAGTCTAAGTATGTAGAATTCAAGATCCATAGAGGCAATAAAAACATCATGACTTTACAACCCAAAATAATACAAGTTGTAGGTTTTTCGCCGTAAAATTGTCAAAACCACTTTCAGAAGGGTACTTATATAAACTCTAATTCACTGTACAAATCAATTCAACTCAATTTTTTTAAAAAAATACTAAAGTAAACAATTCACATAACCTTCTTTGTGCCAACCAAATGTCATTCCATTTTTTGACAGATTTGAGGTTGAGAAAACAAATCGTAAACAAAAATGATCGTTCAGCGTCATTCCAACCGCTTATGAAACATGTTTCTTTGCTTTTAAAACATGTTTGACGACGATGAACACCACAGAACACTTACTCTTAGAACGGTAACTCCCATGTTAAAAAAGGATGATAGAGTTTTTAGCGGCACCTGGTGGACGTGGTTGATTTTTTTTCAATTAAGTCCTTGTCTGGTAAGAGGCCATATGAAAGAAGAGAAAATAATAAAAAGAAGAAGAGAAGAAAAGCGCGGGGCTATTCAAATTTGACAGTAAAAATTATCCGCATTAAAAACTGTTAGCCAAATTAAGATTTGTTCACACAAATTGCATTTTTGCTTTATTATAGCGAATATCGCTATAATAAAGCAAAAATGCAGTTTGTGTGAACAAATCTTAATTTGGCTAACAGTTTTTAGATAAAAAAAACAAGAATATTCAAAAAATAAATTTATTAAAGAATATATATAATACAAATCCAATATTTAAAAAATGTAATGTATATGAAAATTGTATTATGTATGAAGTAGCTGGATGGCTGCTACATATTCCAGGATACAACACTGTCCATCATTTTGTGAAGAACTTTAGCTGTGAAAAAAGAAAGACAGTATAAGTACAATCTCATTAAAATAAATGTATTAATAAAAAATTATAAGTCCGAGGAATACTTTATTTTTTAATAAGTCCAACATCTACGATACAGCTTTGCAACCCCAAACGTCATGAAACACAAATTTCACAGTATATGCAGCGTTTAAGAATCCACATCGGATGCAACTGAGATGTAGTAAATCTTTGATCACGTGATTCAATTTACGTAAATGTAATGGGACAGATGTGTCCGATTTAAAATAAACTATTTGAGGCGCTGTTCTCCACATCTCGGCAAATGGACTAAAATAATAATTTATAATACTCTTAATATTACCTTATTTTAATTATTGTGCCACTATACTGTATTTGCTCAACCAGAATGAGTTGCAATGATTGCAAAAGTTGCAGAATAGAGGTCTGAGGATAATACTGAGCTGTTCGAGATTGGAACCAATCAATTCCATGTTGAATGTGCTTCAGTGGTTGACTGTTAAAAAATATTTGCTATTCTATTCCCTGCTTTTTATATTTAAAATTAAATCAGGAATCTCCAGAGTATATTTACAAAATATTTTAAGTTATAATCAGGATGTTCATGAACCTAAACAGGTAACAAGAAAAATGTACACAAAATTTAGTGTTTTTTAAAGGTGTACAGGCTTTTAATAATTTGCCTGAGGATATTAAATGTTCTTCAAATGTGGCAATATTTAAAATAAAACTGCATGAATACCTGTTCACCTATTGACGTTTTTTTTTTCTCTTTCTTGTTCTTTTATTGTTTTGTATAGTTGACATGTAAGTGTACTGTATCTTATGTATTTTTTATTGCATTTTAAATGTATGTTGATTCTATATTTAGGTATTTTTTATATTTTAAACGTGAAGATGTATTGACATGTAAAAAATAGTTTTTTTGACTAAATAAACGTTTTATATATAGGTATGTAGATAAAAAAACGCTCGAGATGTAAAAAATGCATCTGATGTGGATTCTCAAACACAGCAATAAGTATAAAATAAATAAGTACTAACTTTCCTTCTCGAAAAGAAGTCCAACATATATTATTAGTCTGCTTCTTCTTCTACGATACAGCTTTGCAACCCCAAAT